GATGAGGGCATTGTTTTGTTTTTTTGTTTTTTTTTTGTTTTTTTTTTTTGGGATTCTCTTTTCAAGACTATCTTGTCTTTTCTTATGACTAGGAAACTTATGTTGAACTACAACATTATACCAATCTTTAAACTAATCTTTACTGTTAGCCTTTCCGAAAGTGTTAATGTACTATAGTCTCACTTTGATTAAACTCGTAACAGGAGTGTTAATTAATATGACATCACATCAAAATAGGAGATTCTATATACTTTTATCCTTACCACTTTTGTAATATAAGATTAACTTAAGGACCCCTGAATAATTAAACGACATATCCAGCAATATTTTAAACATATCAAAATCACGGGCCACATTTTCTCCCTTAACAAAACCAAAAAGATGGTGACAACAACACAAATTAAGTACTAAAGTAAAGGTGTGAAGGAGTAAAAAATGGAAGGAAAAAGAAGGGGGAAAAAGATGGAGTGAAAACTTTGTAACTTCTAATTTATACCCATTAATTTGTTCGTCATCATTATTTTTACTTGCTTTTAAAAGCAAGTAGGTCCAATAATTTTAGGAGTGCATAATTATTCTTGCAAAGATGAAGGATCAATATTAATTTGTGGCCACTACGAGACTCCTCACTACATATTTGCCAGTATCCTCCACCCAACTTAGAGAGCCTAAGCTCGCATCTGCTTTCGACAATTTTGGACCCTCCAAAGTGAGCTTGTAACTTTGCTTCTCATGCATACTTTTCATTGAACACCAACTTCTCTGGCTCTACCTTCACATTCAACTCATTCATGGCTGCCAATTTCGTCGCATAACTTGAGCTTTTTCCTCTCCCACATTGGTCACTGTTCTCTTAAACTCCCTTACAACCTTGCCATCAATCGAACTTGAACCACCGAGGCCGCTAAAGTAGGCAATGACAGGTGATTGATATCCAGAGACCGCCTGACACGCTTGTGATCAGACTTTGTTATGATCTGGATTTGCTTAGCAGTCTAGTTCCACATAAAAGCTCTTACTGGTTCACTCCTATTTTGGCAGAATTTACGCCTTTGCTATGTATGGCTGTATGAGGATAGATCAGCAGGCTCAGCCAGTGGAATGGTACTGAGGGGGTTCATCTAGCTATCTACAAAATGATTTGGAAGAACTCTGAGTTCACATATGATTTTCTCGCTGTAATAAACAAGGCTGTCAAAGATGGTGTGAACATATTGTCACTGTCCTTAGAGTTAGGCACGAATGAATATTTGGTTTATGGATTCAGAACTATTCTCGGTTTATGTGTGTTTTTTGTGAGAGAAAATACTGTACCGAGCCACGAACCATGATTCGAATCATAGTACGAATCCTCATACCAAACACCCAGCTGCAACCATAGACAAAGTCATGTTTATCTCGGCTTTAGCTGAAATGGTGGCCCTATGCCTGGGATATGTAGTGATATGTTAGGATAAGGTGCTTCGTAAAGTAATTTTTATTTTGACATGGAGACATTATTATACAGTATTAATGGTACGTTTTTTATTCCAATAGATGTATGCTATTTAATTCATGGTTAATTGTTTAAAGATACATCATGATCCAAAGCTTTTAGTTTCATCATTAATTATATACACACATATATATGTTGAGAACAATCCTAAGAATATTAGTGTCACTCTTTCTATCACTTTCTGCATTTACTGTATGACACGCGAATTCCACTATATCATTTTCTGTTTAAATAATAATACATCACGTTAATAGATCCACGTGTCAAATAATGAATGTAAAAAGTGATAAAGAGAGTGACAGAAAGAGTGACAATAACATTTCTTTATCCGAGAAATATAATCTTAAGTATAAAAACACAAAAAGAATTATTCAACCTATAAATAAAGCCAGACACTATTCTGATAAGGCTGTGGTGTTGTCCATTTCCAAATTGTTGGAACGACTGATCTGAATTATCTGTAAATGGTATTACAAAATAGAAACATCTGTCTTAAGAATATATTGAACAAGATATGTTCTTTAATAAGATCCGTTTATTTAAAGAACTATTGTTACATTATGGATAATTGTGGTTGAACTTTAATTCTAAGTGGTTGACGGAATCACATCCAGATCTTTAACATGTTTGTTGATAAATAATGAGTGAGAATATTTGGTAGACCAATACCTTAATGTGCTGGAGGCATATTGCTTAGGGTAGTCGGGAAATAGACATGGAAGTCATAACTTCAATGTTGAATAGTAATGACATTCTCATGAGGCGTAAATTTGGGAATTTGGAGTGAATTAGATCTCGTATCCATTTAATGGACTAAATAATTTTGTATGATTTATTCATAAATAAAACACTCATTAGAGAGTTGACGGAACTAATAAATAAAAATATAATTAGAGAGGTTAAAATGGAATTATTTACATATGTAATTATGAATATTCATAGTGAAAACATCACACAGTAATTAACTATATATCAGTGGACAAAACCTTTTGTTTGTATGTATTAGCTTCTCGTAAATATATCTGTATATTCTTAAAATGCAACTTTGACTCTTGATTAGTGTTAGAATATTAGATTGGCCGCTGCGACCACCCGAAAATACCGATTTTTTGCCTAATGCCCGACCCGCCTGAAATTTTTGGGCCGCCCGCCCGAGCCCGAGAAGGCCCGTGGACGGGCCACGGGCCTGGCTTTGGCTACCCGAGCCCGCCCGGATGCCCGAATTTTTTTATATATTTTTTAATTTTTATAATTATTAAGTTATTTTGTGTTAAAATTATATAAAAACTAAAATCAACATTCAACACACATTATTAACACAATTTAATAAATTAATTTTATATATTAATTTTTAAATTCGTAATTCATAATTGCCTCGTTAAAAATCTTACCAAGAAAAACCCAATTGGGATAAAAACTTGGTAAGAAAAAAAGAGTACAATCATTTTGTGACGAATTACAAATTTTACAAACTTACAAAATATATAATTACAATGTCAAAAGCAAATATATATTTACAAATTACAAATTTACAATTTAATTTGAAGCTAAATGATCATCTTCAAAATTAAATGTTAATCTATTAAATTCATCAATCCATTCTTGACTTGCCGGTGAAATTGTATCCTGTAGACGTTGATCGGCGCGATCTCAATCCTTAATGCATACCAAGGCTTCAACAATATCCTTTTGCAATATGTTACGGCGTTTCTCAAGTATTCATCATGTCGTACTGAAGGCTTATTTGGATGAAACATTGGAGACTGAGATCGAAAATATATCCATTGTCAATTGAGTTAGGATTGGCCAAGTTAATGCTTGTGTCCTCCACCATTGAACTAGATTAAACAATTCTCTAGTATCGTCGACTACTAAGCTCTCACTGAGGTATGCCATAAGCTCGTCGAAGCCTTTAAAGTAATGTTCGGTTACAAATAAATAATCTTTGTTAGTAACGGCAAACCAAATGTCTACCATTAACGCAACGCAACCGCTAGTAGAGTGTAAAAGGTTTATTAATGCTTCTCTTTCCTGTTTAAATAATTTTAACAAATCTTTCCTAAGAGTAGTTTTTTAAAAAAATTATGCATTAGGACTGTGTACAACTTTAATATATCACTGCCAATTAAGATGCTCTACAAAACTAAGTGGTTGATCTAATGCAGCTATTATTCACGCAACTTCCATATGATCTACTTGCGGATCGTATTTCCAAGTGTTTAGACCACCGGTTGCACGATCAAAAGATAATTGTGTTTGGTGAAGTTCGGGTCTGCCGGACTGGCTAAGCTTTTGAAGACACTTTTCGGAGTGTCTTTTCAAGTGTGTGGTGCCGTGAATAGTATCACGTTGTAATTTAGATAAACAATATTTAAAGCTATATGTTTAGTGTTACCTGCATTGTCGACCTCCTCAATTGTGTCGAAGTGATCCTAAACTGTCGAGGTGCGCTTGCATTTCCTCCTGGAGGTTGCAACACTTGCAGACGCAGTCGCACTTGCACTCGTCGTTTCTCCACCCTCACCACCATTGCGACCACGACCTCTAGTACGTCCACTAGGGCTCGGATTAGCAGATTCCTGCGTAACAAATTCATTAATGGGAAATTGCCCTTCTTTCACGTTGTGTTGGACATCAACGGGAATACCACTATAACCAAAAGAATCCATTATTAAAAAATAAGAGCTATTTGAGGGAGAGAGCTTTAGGATATTGTGATAGTTTTTAAAAAATTTGTGAGAGAGATTTGAGAGAAATTGAGAGAGATTGAGAGAGTTTGAGTGAGGAAAATATGTGGGAGATGAGAGGTATTTATAGAGAAATTTTTGGGTTAAAAAATTGATTTTTTTTCTCCCAAATTCGGATCCAACGGCTAGTTTTTTCGGCGGGTCGGGTTCGGGCAGAAAATCGGGCAACAGTCCAAAAAAGCCGTCGGGGTCGGGCATTTTGGGCTTCAGGTCGGGTCGGGCTCCAACGATCATAAATTTATCCGTTGGTCGAGCTAGGGCTTCGGGCAGTTCGGGCCTAATCGAAAAAATTCAAAAAAATTCCGGCGGACGGCGATAACACGGCGGTGGGCTCCGGCAAGGTGTCCATTTTCGGGTTGCCCAATCCCAAAAATTTTTGTTGGACGGGCCGGCATTTGGGCCTGCCCGCCAAGCCCGAAAAATTCAGGCCTCAGGCCAGCTCGTCGACCCAAAGTTTCAACACTACTCCTGACTGTGGCACAAATTAAATTAAGTTAATATAATTATATTTGATTGATGAATAGTTAATTAAATTAAATACTAATTATTGGAACTTTAAATATATTGGTCCACTTGGTCCCTATGCTAGCTTCATAATAAGTCTAGTTAGATTAATGAATATTCTTGATACAATATAGCTTCAGCTTTGATTCCTTGTATTCAGGGAATTCTTCTGAAGCCCAAGTTCCCCTTGTTTTCATGATTGTGAAGATGCGATGGAAATGAAGAAAATTAAAAGACAAAATTGTTGTGTCCAAAGGCAATTTAGTGTAAGTGATCAATTAGAGAAAGCAAAGACTAAAGGTTTTTAGAGCTATCTTCATTAGCAGCTATTCATTGTCTAGTTGCTGTATTTATTTGCCTCAAAGATGGCCAATCAGTTATAAAGTACATTGAGAAAGGGAAAATCCCACAGGAAAATTGGAATTTCAAAAGACCGTCCTTGGTACAAATGGAGGGAAAACTTTGTTCGTCATCATTATACCCATTAATTTGTTCGTCATCATTATATTTACTTGCTTTTAAAAGCAAGTAGGTCCAATAATTTTAAGAGAACATAATTATTCTTGCAAGGAAGAAGGATCAATGTTTGTGGCCAATATGGGACTCCTAACTACATATTTGCCAGTATCCTCCACCCAACTTAGAGAGCCTAAGCTCGTCTCTGCTTTCAACAATTTTGGACCTTCCAAAGTGAGCTTGTAACTTTGCTTCTCATACTTTTTCTTGAACACCAACTTCTCTGGCTCTACCTTCACATTCAACTCATTCATGGCTTTCAATTTCGCCTTATAAGTTGAGTTTTCCTCTCCCACATTGGTCACTGTCCTCTTAAACTCCCTTACAACCTTGCCACTCGGACTCGAACCCCCGAGGCCGTTAAAGTAGGCAACGAAAGAAGGGTAATTGAGATCCAAAGACCGATCGACGCACTTGTGATCGGACTTTGTTATGATCTGTATTTGCTTAGCAGTGTAGTTCATTCCACACAGAACTTTTATGTAGTCCTCTGCTGTTGCATCATAGATTAGGCCAGGTTCAACCGCCTTGTTCGGAACAATGTGGCCGGCTCCGGTTTCTAGGCCTGGAATGTCGAACCTCGCAACATCTTTGATGGGGTTTTGTGTGTTGTCTAATGGATTTGCGGTGGTCATAATCGCCGACCTAATGGCTGCAGGGCTCCAATCAGGGTGAACTGCCTTGATGAGAGCCGCCAGGCCTGCAACATGTGGTGCAGCCATGGAAGTGCCGGAATCTATGTTGAAATTGCTAAACAAAGAGCCTTTTAGAACTTCCGCAACTGGACTAATCGGCGACCATGATGCCAAGATTGATGAGCCAGGAGCCATAATATCTGGCTTCAACACATTTGGGCAGCTCAGAAATGGTCCTCTAGAGCTGTAGCTATCGACTTGCGGCGCGGGTTTCGTACCAAGGACGGTCTTTTGAAATTCCAATTTTCCTGTGGGATTTTTCCCTTTCTCAGCGTAGCTTATAACCGTTTGGCCATCTTTTAGGCCAATAAATGCTGCAGCAAACGAACTACTAGTGTAAAAACTAGACAATGAAATGTCAGTAATGAAGATAGCTCCAAAAACCTTTGCAGACTTTGCCCTCTCTACTTGATCACTTATACTCAAATTGTCTTTGCAGACAACAATTTTGTCTCTCACTTTCTTCATTTGCTTCACATCTTCACAACCATCTAAGAAAACAAGGGGAACTTGGACTTCAGAAGAATTCCCTGGATACAAGGAATCAAAGCTGATTTCAACACCATTTCCTAAAATTAGTTCTCCTTTGAAAAGGCGATCCACAGTGCCTGCAGCCACCGTTGTTATCCACGGCGCTCCGTTGATAACTGTCCCGGGCATTGGGCCACCATTTCCAGCTGAAGCCGAAACAAACACACCTCTCTCCATGGCTGCAAAAGTGGCCACAGCCATTGTATCATCCTCCAAGAAATAGTCATCAGTGCCTAGCCCCAAGGATAGCGACAATATGTCCACACCATCTTCGATCGCCTGGTCTACTGCAGCGAGAAAATCAGATGTGAAGACGGAGTTCTTCCAAATCGTCTTGTAGATAGCTAGGTGAGCCCTTGGCGCCATTCCATTGGCGGTGCCTTCCGCATAGCCAAAATAGGACGCGCCCTCCACGTAGTTGCCTGCAGCCGTGGAAGCTGTGTGCGTTCCATGTCCATCGTCATCACGGGGAGAATTCATAGATATTTTGAACTTGGGAATGTTGGCGTGGAGACCCTTGTTGTAAAAGCGAGCACCGATAAGTTTCTTGTTGCACAAGGAGGAATTAAATTTCTCACCAGGCACACATTTTCCTTTCCATCTAGAAGGGACTTTAGTCATTCCTTTGTCACTAAAGCTCTCGCTCTCCGGCCAAACTCCCGTGTCAACCACACCGATAATCACACCTTCACCATAAGATGAAGCAGGCCATACACCAGAATTTTGGCTTAATCCAAGAAATTTGGAAGTATGAGTTGTGTGGGGTTTGAGCATGCGATCCGGGGTAGAATGGATATAGCCAGGGGAGTTCTTGAGGGCTTGAAGCTCAGATAGTGTTAGAGTGGCGCTAAAGCCATGGATCGAGTTTTTGTAAGTATGGATGAGTTTTGATGTAATTGGTTCTTGAGAATTTTCTGATACAGAAGAAAAAGTAGATTCAAACCAGCTTTGGTGTGCTGAGAAGGCTCTGGGCATGGCTGATTTATCCATGTGTATGATGTATGTTTGAGATTGTGCTGAAATTAAGTAAAAGAAAGAGCTCATCACCAATATAATTATAGTATCTATAACCATATTGTTTAGATTAGCCATGGTTGGATTGGTTATTCTTTTGCAGAGACAAGATTGGCTATTTATGGTCAATCTCTCCCACGTTTTAATCAAGAAATATGTCACCATGAAGCACCAAAAGCATTAGTAAGAGAATAAGGTTTTGGACCAGTTCCATATTGTGGTGGACATAAGGCACTACTTTTCTACCTTTACAGCTCCTTTATAAAAGTAGGGGGCCAAGATTATGAATCATGAGATTCTTTTTACATCTTTTATTTCCTTGCCTTCAAATAATTGCTATCTTATAAGTTGGAAGTTTATACTGTATCTTATTTGTTTAAATCTTTTTTTTTCTTTTCCTACTATCACTTCTCATTTTTGTCTGTCAAATTTCAGATCAGTTTTCTTAGAGACTTGGGATTCAGTACGAGCTAATTCACTTTGTTTTTCTTTTCGCAAATAATTGCACTATGGATTTAATCCAGTACAAAGAGTGAAGATGACTAGCCAATAGAAAAACGCCAACTCTCTATGAATGGACTTGTAATGGTTTTCCACCTTTGTGCTAGTGGGAAAGGTTTGAGTCTTTTTTTTTTTTTTTTTTGTTTTTGTTGGTTGATTAGCCCCAACCATATAATACGTCATGTCAAAGCTATTTTTGGTCGTTACCTATTTTCTTGAGAATATAATTTATGAAATCAGGAAGGTAAGTTCATGCTTATTGAGATAAGTGGATTTATGAGTCGATTTTGTATTCCAGTTCTTGTCATAACTATTAACTTCAGCGTTTCTTGAAAAAAATAAATAAATAAATAATCATAATAATAATAATAATAAAAATAAAGAAAAGAGTGCTCCGCTTTTGAACATTTAATGACCAAAACTGGGATGGCCCCACACGGAGTGAAAAAAAAGGCACTACAGATAGTACAGAAGCACTCCAGCCCACTTCATCAAGTTCTTCTCTTTGGAATATACAGCAATTATTCTACTCTCATAGTTACTAAAATGTCAATAATTAAAAGTAGAGTAGGCATTTTCGACATAATATCTACTAAGGCTATTTAGCTTTTTAGTTTTACATGTTCTATTGGTCACTGGCCATCATAAGATGCTCTAACTTGGCTATTCATCTCACATGATATGATAGATATAATATTCAGGTTATGTATACAAAGGTAAATGGTTGTCTTCGAATTCTGGGAATAACTTTTTCTTACGTTTTGCTTACAGAATTTCTCCCCTTAATTTCCCTCCTAATTTTTCAGGTCGAAAAGAGTTATTGAACTTAGTTTAAGGCCCGTTTAATTCGTTGATTCGAGTTTTTAATTCAAGTTGAGATGTGACTTAATGTTAGAGTTTTTTACTGTAGTAAAAAAGTTAAATATGACTATTTGTAAGAGTTTTTTACTGTAGCAAAATTCGAATTCTAAACTCGAATCAGCGAAATGAACGGGGCTTAGTTAATGCAACAACGAGTACTGAGGCTCTAGAATTGTTAAAATCTCAAATGGATATCGTCAAGTCTTCAATTTATAAATTATATCCTTTTCTCATTTGATCAGGAAGCTTTATCAATTAACTTAGATCCCGTTAGCTTCGATGTCGAATTTCACTGTTCACATGGCTGCACAAGTGAACCTTATATGTTATGTGCAAGCTTCTTAATGTCTAGATATTAAGCGTGATATAGAGGCCAAGTCTGGACCATTTGGTGAGAAAAAAGTAAATTCCATGATGTTGCATTGGAATAAGGGTTAAATTTCAAATATTTCTTACTCTTTTGATCTCATTGTCGCAAGTTACTGGTGAGTTTTTTTCTCTTCTGTTTCTGTTTATTTTTCTTAGTGCTGCATGCATTTCTTGTCAGTAATTCGGGAGTCATAGGTCTCACACCATATCAAAGAAAAAATGCCTTAAAACAAGCATCTTTTTTTCGGTCTTTTTTCTTTTCGGAGAAAGTTAGGAAAAGGAATTTAACAGGGCAATAAAAATTGACGAAATGGGAAAGAGATTTGGAGTTTTGGTGTTATTGAAGGAAGAAGATAGAAAGCATCACCATGGGATAATAGAAAATTTAAAACTAAAAGTAATTGCTAAGGAGTTTCATCAATGTAATTGACGGTTTTGTTGACCTATTTTGCTAAGAATTTATCACGGGAGAAGGATTGCTCACTTGATTGGACAATAAAATAAGTTTGTATGTCCTATTTTGCAATCTGTTTGTACTTCGACGGAGATGGCGTCTCCAACGGTATCGTTATGTTTTTTTTTTCCTAAAGACATAATGAACTATGACGAGAGATGTCACCTACAATTCTTCATATTTCTTGTATCGGACGGTTCTAATGGTTCGAGGACAATAAATTTTCTGATGAAGCTACTCAATTCTATTTTCCTTTGTTTTCGTAGAACTAATTCTTCTAACAAATATTATCAATAAAACGGTAGACAAAAGAAAGAGGAATGTAGATTATTTTTTTTCCTCTCCTCATCTTTTAATTTTTATTTAAATCAACAAACAAACCGTATAAAGCATATCCTAATTTCTCTACATGATCAAAGTTGGAGAGGGAATTATAGACTAACAACTTTGCTTTTCCACCGCGCTTATTCTCTTCTTCATTTGATTCCTTGAAGAACTTGTTGACAAAAAATATAGTCTATACCCAAGAAATCCACGCCTTAAAGAAAAGTGCCCAAGTTTAATGCCCACTAAGGAAAAAAAGATTGTCGTGCTGTCTATATACCTAATTGAAGAGAAGATCTTGGTCTCGTTTATTTCACCGATTCGAGTTTTCAGTTTTAAATTTCTACAGTAAAAAGCTCTCAAAAAATGTCGCATCTAACTTTTTCTGCTACAGTGAAAAGTTCTTATAAAATGTCACATCTCGGCTCGAATTAAAAACTCAAATCCGCGAAGTGAACGAGACCCTTAACTGAATCATTGTAATGTTTATCATTATTATATATATACACCTCTACATTGAGAATACATGAATTGGACCCAAAAAGAAATAGTTCTTTAATTAAATCCTTTTAAATATTAAAAAAAATATTTTATTCATATTAAATGATCAATTTATGGATGGACTTTAACTATGAGTAATTGGCAGACTCACGTTTATGTATTATGCCTCTTGATTTACTAACGGGTGAGATTTATACAGAAATCGATAACACGCTATTTTGGAAACATAATATTATAAATAGCCGGAAATGTCATAATTTTAGTTGGAGGATTCAAACCATGTGATTCGAATCATTTTCAATTTACGTGTATTTTTTATGAGAAAATACTGTAACGAACCACGAATCATGATTCAAATCAGAAAACGAATCTCTCTACCAAACATCCTCATAGAATCTACAACTTTATCATTAAGATCAGTGATATCCCCATGTAATGTTACTACGAGAACTTGGCTGCTAGAGGCGCTCTGAGATAATTAATATTAGACATTGTATTAATTACTCAAATCTTCTTTTATTATTTATTCATAAATAGTTCACCCATTAGAGTATTAATGATAATTCTGGACGAGAAATTATTCAATAGATATCAGATCCCTTACCAACAAAGCGCCACGTCATTATCAAATAGCTCTACAAGCCCAATATATAAAGTCGAATAATTAAGCTCAGATAATGCAGTAAGCATAAAAAGAAAGAACCGGAAGACAGAAAACACAAAAGCGAAGCCACTTTCATATCGTTGAGAAAACTAACATAGGAGAGAAAACAGACATCAATGCCGCTTCACACTAAGTAAGGCAGCAGCACAGTACAGAAGGCAAAAGGAATCAAACAACATAGATATTTAAGCTGAACTACCGGATAACATGATCTCCACTCAGTACTCATCTTCCCCATCATCATCTTCAGCACCATCACCCTCTGCACCCACCTCCTCATAATCCTTCTCCAGAGCAGCAAGGTCTTCACGCGCCTCGGAGAATTCACCTTCCTCCATGCCCTCACCCACATACCAGTGAACGAATGCCCTTTTGGCGTACATGAGGTCGAACTTGTGGTCAATGCGCGAGAAGACTTCGGCAACACTGGTCGAGTTTGAGATCATGCACACTGCTCTCTGTACCTTGGCAAGATCACCACCAGGAACCACAGTTGGAGGCTGGTAGTTGATACCGCATTTGAATCCAGTGGGACACCAGTCGACGAATTGGATGGTGCGCTTGGTCTTGATTGTGGCCACAGCGGCATTCACATCCTTGGGCACCACATCTCCTCGGTACATCAGACAACAAGCCATGTATTTCCCGTGGCGGGGATCACACTTGGCCATCATGGATGATGGCTCAAATGCACTGTTGGTGATCTCCGCAACAGAGAGCTGCTCATGGTAGGCCTTCTCGGCTGAGATAACTGGAGCATAAGATGAAAGCATAAAGTGGATCCTGGGATATGGGACCAAGTTGGTCTGGAATTCAGTAACGTCAACATTCAAGGCACCATCGAACCTCAGAGAAGCCGTCAAAGATGATATCACCTGAGAACATTGTACCAAAACAGATCAACATAATGTCCCTTTAAAGGGAAAATGAAACTATCAGATTCAAATGTAAAACGATAAATACCTGCGAAACCAATCGGTTAAGGTTGGTGTAGGTGGGGCGCTCAATGTCTAGGGAGCGCCTGCAAATATCATAGATGGCCTCATTGTCGAGAAGCACGGACACATCAGTGTGCTCCAAAAGGGAGTGAGTGGAGAGGACACTGTTGTATGGCTCAACCACAGACGTTGAGACCTGAGGAGATGGGTAGACAGTGAATCCAAGCTTGGACTTCTTGCCGTAGTCCACAGACAGACGCTCAAGCAAGAGAGATGCTAAACCTGAACCAGTGCCTCCCCCCACAGCATTGAAAACCAGGAATCCTTGGAGACCAGTGCAGTTGTCAGCAAGCTTACGGATGCGGTCCAGGCACAGATCAACAATCTCTTTCCCAACTGAAAATAAAATAGGGAAAAGATTTAGAGGTCAAGAATGATCAATAAAAAGTTAACAGGTGCAAGGAAATTCAAAATCGGAAAGTGTCAAAACAAGGAAGCAGAACATTACTGGTATAGTGGCCACGAGCAAAGTTGTTAGCAGCATCTTCCTTGCCGCTGATGAGCTGCTCAGGGTGGAAGAGCTGACGGTAAGTTCCAGTCCTAACTTCATCAATGACAGTGGGTTCCAAATCTACAAAGATGGCACGGGGAACATGTTTCCCAGCACCAGTCTCGCTGAAGAAGGTGTTGAAAGCATCATCACCACCTCCAACAGTCTTATCACTTGGCATCTGACCATCAGGCTGTCACAAAAAACATTTGATTTAAATTTTAGAACCTCATAAAGGAAAAGGAAATCATCGAAAAAAAAACAATAATCACAAAGTTCAGATGTTATCCAATACTAGTGTCTTACAAACTAACATACGATTCCTTCTTTTAAGTGATAATGCAAAGCCAATCATCACATAAATAGACCGGGAAACACACTGTCGACTTTAAAAGTGAAAAAAAAAATACATATTGGAAATAGTCTCATTCATTAACAATCACATTTGTACAGAAACAAATCAGATATTCAAACATCAAGAATATCAATCGAATGTGCCCTAGACAAAATGTGATTTAGCATACCAATCATGTCATATCAAACATCAAGCATATCAATCACCACAAGATACAAACAGACGCTGAGTTCATTATAGATTTTATTTTAGTACATATAAAAAAAAAATCCAGATATCACATCAAGTTTATCGAAATGTTCTTTAATCTCAGACCTAGCCAAAAATTTGTAGATCAAAGCCTACGCTTCTCATTCACGACAATATACGCAACTAGATCTGGTACACATTACAGGTTAAACGAATCAAATGACTATAAATGTTCTATCAATCAACATAAAAAGGACCTCACTTGACAAAGTTCAACGAATCTACAGGAAATGTAGGAAACTAAACAACTTTTGTCGGCGACAACCATGGAAACACAAACAAACACCAGATCTAGTGCATATTGGAATAACAAATCGATGAAGCAATTGTTCTCGTCAATGTGACCGACAATCTACAAACAAAACTACCAGATCTGGTCCAGATCTCAAAGAAAATGGAAGTGGGAGAAGAAAATGGAAGTGGGAGAATCAAATGACTATAAATGTTCTATCAATCAACATAAAAAATGACCTAACTTGACAAAGTTCAACGAATCTAAAGGAAATGTAGGAAACTAAACAACTTTTGTCGGCGACAACCATGGAAACACAAACAAACACCAGATCTAGTGCATATTGGAATAACAAATCGATGAAGCAATTGTTCTCGTCAATGTGAACGACAATATACAAACAAAACTACCAGATCTGGTCCAGATCTCAAAGAAAATGGAAGTGGGAGAAGAAAATAGAGAAGAACTATGAACTAATCGTACCTGAATGCCATGCTCAAGGCAGTAAAGCTCCCAGCAAGCATTTCCGACCTGAATACCGGCCTGACCGATGTGGATCGAGATGCACTCTCTCATTTTGGCTCGAAGGAATCACGAAAGGAATACGGAGAGAGAAGATCGCAAAAGCTTAACAATGGCGGAGAGAGAGAGAAGAAAATTCCAGGGAGAGAGAAATGGCGTTTATCAAGACGCCGGTGGTTTGTGAGGTCTGTGTTATCTGCTCTGTTTGGGATTTTTATACCCCGTTATTAGAAGGAAGGTTGGGGAATTTAACCGCATGTCAGTTAACCATAGTTAGAACAAATTGGGAGTCAGAGTTAATTCTTCCCGTTACCTCTTCTATTTTCTGAAAACCGCTTTTAAGTGCTGTGAATCGTAGTCGTTCAGTTCCGGGCCTTAATGACATGTACGGCTCCGATCGAATAGTTTGAACTACGTACTGCTAATCACGTACAGCTCACGGGCCTTAACCATAGTTTTTTTTTTTTTTTTTGCTAATCACGTACAGCTCATTTTTTGAAAGCGTAACCATTGTATTAGCATTCAATATAATTTGAATTTTTAGCAAATTTACCCTTTAAATTTATCATAGTTTAACAAATTATCTCTAAATTTTAATTTTAACAAGTTATTTCTTAATTTATAAATTTGTTACAATATATCATATTTTTAACGAGGTTTGTGTTAAATTAGTGTCAAAAAAGCACATTTAAATAAAAATTTTAACATTTCAATTAAAAAAACACAAATATTTCAATATCTTTTTTTAATCCCTTAGATCTAATAAAAAATTTAAACAAATTTAGTTAAATATGGTACATTAAAATAAATTTATAAGTTCAGAAAACAACTTAACTTTTATGAGGCAATTTACAAAATCACGATAAATTTGAGGAACAATTGTGCAAAAAACCCATATAATTTACCCTGAAGAGTACTCACGGAGGAATATTGTTTCAAAACATAGGCCATGTTCTCTACTTTCTCTTCTCTAAATTGTGTTTTCGGAAATAAGAATGAAAACTATTCTCATTTATTCTCACAAAATAAATTTGACAATTGTTTTCTGAGAATAAAAAATTAAAGAATCAAAACATAATTTTCAAAAATAAAATTTAAGGGATGAAAGTTTCATAGAAAGTAGAAATTATCCTTCGTCGGAGATATTGTTAAGTGAATAATGTGTTATTGATTTTGTTTTGGCAATTGAAAATAGTTTCTTTTTATATTATATTTTAATGTTTTAAGTACTTATAATACGTAACAATCAGAGGTCTAGTCACCACCTTAGACTCTAGACGAGATTGGGGACGGTTGCCTCCCTTGGCTCAAGAGGCTCCTTTCAACTTTTGCCTTGAAAAATTATTTTCTTACAATTTTTTTATTTGCCCCCTAAGATTTTTTAATTGCAGTTTTGTACATAGAGATTTTTCTAAAATGTTTTTATTGTCCCTCATACTTGTACCTTATTTTATAAAATGTTTCAATTATAACTTAAAATTTGACTTTTAAACATACTCATATTTAAATTTTCTAATTTCAAAAAAAAAAAAAAAAAGATCAGCTACACTGCTATATAAATTCGTAAATTTGCATCAAACTTTAAAACGTGAATTGGCCTAAATTACATACTTGAACAATTTGGAAGGAGAAACAAAAGATACAAATGCTTAGAAGAAGATAAAAGAGAGAGAAAGAGAGAAAAAGTAGTTGCATAAAATTTTGGCTCAATTCACGCTCTTTAAAAATTTTCCTGGCTCAATGACCTTGTTCATAATTGCAAGTCAAGAAATTTCCACTTTAATGGTAAATGACTGATAAACTAGCAAAAATTTGACGGATTCTTCTTGGTTTAAGGAAAGACATTCATTATTGTTTTTGGCATCATGAATTCTACTAACATGACCCCACGGCTTTAGAACTAATTTCAAATACCACAAATGCATGTTCAAACAGGTCGAAAACTTACAAGATAATCTTAGATAATCTTTCATTTTTATGAATTAATAGTAGAAATATATGCATGACCAAGTAGAATACGTAATATGTAACGATTCTTGTATAATAGTTATAAAACAAAATTTATACTGCTTTTTTGAAACTTTATTGTGAAAGGTTTACTAAGCTAAGCAGAGAGACATTTCAAATATTAAATCAAAAGCATGCAACTTATGCCGACCATTTTAAGACATTCCAGTGCAGGACACTCTTTTCTTTTTTTCCAAACTCCTAAAACTTGAAACAAGAAAGGCCCTTGCATACCAAATGGAAAATGCCATAGAACATAACGGCTTATTTGGGTTACTAGAAATCCTATTCATCAGCACTGTACTTGTGAAGGAAACTGATGATAAGCTTATTAACCTGCTCTGGATTCTGTTCATGCGCAAAGTGATTTCCCTCTTTCAGGAATACAATGTCCAGATCAGGCACAAACTTCTTCACTTCCCCGCTTCGTATGTAGTCCTCCATCCCCGGAAATTTCAAGACATAGTCCTTCTCACCCATGATTAGTAGCATCGGAGCTGTCATTTTCGGATCAGTTATACCAATATCCACCGATAAAGTCCTGCCACGGATGAAACAACAAGTAAATTGACAATCATGTGATGAAGTTGTTGTTAATTGTTAGTATAATTTGTCTGAATAATCCATCACTTCCAACAAAGTTCAATGTTGGCATTGTTGGTAAAAAATTAAGTTTAAGGACCAAATTGATACCAATTTGAAAGTATGTTGGAAAATTCGAATCGATTGGACTGAGTCATTTTTCTTGTTATAATTTACCTGTATGGAACCTGCAGCGCAAAACGAAATCCAGACTTCTCATACGAGGAAGCATAGACTGATAGATCTTCCTCAGAGAACCAAGGAGGCAGAGGAGTGGATGGGTCAAACAAGTCCATGATTTCTTGATCATCACTTGCTATAGGGATCTCACTTCTTGAGAAGAGAGTGTATATGTTCCTTATGACTGTCTTCACATCAAAGCGGCCGAAATCTGCCTCGGCTCGCCCTGGCTCCTGATCATAGAGTTCGGTAATTACCGTTGTTATTCGTATTCATGCCCTCAAAATTTACTCTCTTAATTTTTCCCATAATTTGTAAAAACTCTCACTTTACTATTATAAACTTTGAATTGATCTAGTCTTGCTTAATTCCCTCTGTTAGAATATCCTTTATTGATGAACAATACGAATAAAAGAATTTTAATGGAATATTTTGAGATTTTATCCACTTGGACTAGAAGAATTTCAGTATACATGGAATCCAACCCTAAAACTCACGTATAGTGCCAACCTAAGGAAAAAAAGTTCCATTTTTTTTTGGGTTAAAATTTGAGTTTCTATTTGTTATACAGTGATATTTAGGGGTTGTTCATGGTGGGATTATTGTTAATTTTATGTTTAGCCTCTCTGTTTGTGTTTATTCCGTCGTTCTTAATAAGAAGTCAAACAAAGGGCATTGACTAAGACTAATTTGTAGTTAATGGCAGGAATTTCTAATGGTCGGAGGACAAAGTGGGAATGATCGTAAAGTTGAGAAGGTACAAAATTAAGTTCAGAATAAAGTATTTTCAACACTTTGAACACAACTTAATTAGCCCGAAGAATTAGAACAAAAATATCACTAGGAGAACAGAAATGAATACGTATTAACTATATATATATATATATATATATATATATATACCTGCCACCTTGAGATGTAGAAGCCTTTAGGAAGGAGATTAGTTTTTACTGCAGAGGGACCTGGTAGAAGGAAGGGAACACCTAATGTAATAACTCCAGAGATCCTTTCAGGGTGAACTGCCGCTACCAAGTATGCTGGTATAGCTCCAAAGTCTTTTCCCACAAGGAAAGCCTGTGCGCACCATAACCAGTTTCGATGCTATGTATTATTCTGGATAACACCATAGACAGTGATTTCATGTACCAAATTCGGTGCTGACTTTAACAATGATTTCGTGTATACTCTATCAAATTTTACAGTGTACGGAATCCAACATCACCTGGATCTCCTCGGAATTTGGTGCACTATAACCTGTGCACTAAAGATACTTCTAGTCACCAAAAGAAAAGACAAGACGGAAGAAATAAAATTAAGATTTCTATAGGACCAACCCGAGAATGATCCTAAAGGGTTACCATATTTTGCAGGAATCCAAAACGGCCCTATAAAATTTGGTAAGAGATGTGATAACAAGGTTTATTTGTGCATCAGTAATGTCTGAAAACTATGGCTTATAGAATATGACCTTATTGATGCCCAAAGAGTCCAAAAGGCCTCTGATGTCGTCAATGAGGGCTTGGAAGGTTGCTTTCTCAGGCTCCGCAGGCTGATCGGAGAGTCCATAGCCCCGGAAATCGAATGCTATGGCTCGGTAGCCATTGTTGGCCAAGGCAATCATTTGGTGCCTCCATGTGTACCATATTTCTGGGAATCCGTGTAAGAGCACCACCACCTTGGGACCTGTTGTACTTAAACTACTTTAGATTCGCTTTTATGAAGCAAAGAAAGTTTCACAAGAAAACCAATTCAATGAAATATTAAACAAAACTAAGACATATTGTGTGAGATAGTTAGCATTTTTGTCGGGGACATAATTAAGCTTACATTTTTAACTAACATCAAATGATCTACAATTTTTGTTAATTATGTACTTATCTTCCTTTTCTTCTTCTAAAAAAAATCTAAAATTATAAGAGTCTAAATCTAAATTAATTATGAATTTTTATGGTACATAGAATTGATTTTTGATTTATATGATGTAGAAAAAAAATTTATTGGGGGTAAAATTATATGGAGCCCTTAGGTCCAGGGGAAGTATTGGGTACGTACCACTTCCAATTTCAGCTACATGAAGCTTTAGTCCTTTCACGTCGACATACTTGTGCTCGATGGTTTCCATTTGTTTGTGTGTCTAGCTAGAGAGATAGAATTAAGAGTGTGTTTGGTTACAGTGAGGAAATAATAATGTGAATGATAATAAAAATAGTAATAAAATGAAATTAGAATGTGCTGAAATTATAAATTGATTCTTTAATTTAATTAGAGTTATAGAATTAATACCTGAATGAAGATTATGTTGTTTGATTTCCAACGAAATGAAATAAAAATAAACTGTATTTTGATAAAAATACCCTTAATTAATAATCATCAGATAATTTAATATTTAATTAATTAAAATAGTAAAAAAAAATTTAATTATTGAAAAAACTTTTTATTTGAAGGATAAAATTTGAAAATTATATTTTAATAGTAAAAAATAATATTAATTTTTTATATAATAATAAATTATCACATGCTTAAATATGATCATATTTAACGTCTACAATATATGTATCAAGTAAAAATACCCTTAATAAAAAAGTCAAATTACACAATCAACTAGCATGAATGTTCTTTAAATTTTTTTGTCAAAGAACAACTGTACTTATGAAAAATCACTATTCAAAGTTTACCCGGAAAAAATCATTATCTAGAGAGAATACCAAAAAACCCAAATCTAACAGAGAAAACTAATATTCAAAGTTTATCCAAATATAAAAAAATCATGATCTGAGAATAATTATGAGCAACCCCAAATCTAAAAAAGAGACCATCATTAAAAAGCAGCTTCAAATCTATAACTAGAGCTTTATGCAAAAAAAAAAAAAAAAAAAAAAAAAAAAAAAAAAAAAAGACTATTTTGAAGAACAAACCCAGATCTAAAGAAACCAAATTCTGAACAAACTAAATAAAGAAAAAGAAACCTATCAATATTTGTGCACAAAACAATAAAACCAAGCAACAATAGAAGAAATCGGCTTCAATATCAAGGGAAGTTTATCATCTAGGTACAAACCCAACAAGTTTTACTTTTGAAATTTTCTTCTGCTATGTAGAAGAAGAATGGGTTTCAACGTGGGTTGGATTTGATAGAGAAGAATGGGTTTTTGATTTTCTTTATAAGATGGAAGAGGTAGTTGGCCTCAGTTGGAGTGAAGGGTAGTTGAAATGTAATAATGGAGAAATTTGAGAAAGGCAATTTGGAGAGAAAAAAAAAAAGAAAGCTGAATGGAAAGGTCTTTTTTCTCTCTCCCCACGTGAATGTTGATTCACCCAATTTGGGTGAATGGGCTTTCAAGAAAGGCCTTTTTGAAATAAACTTGTCAATTAAGGTCTCGTTCGTTTCGCTGATTCGAGTTTAAAATTCGAGTTGAGATGTGATTGTATGTGAGAGTTTTTTACTGTAGCAAAACTTGAATTCTAAACTCGAATCAGCGAAACGAACGAGGCTTAAATGATGGAATTGGACCATTTTCTCATAATGGCATTTTCTTTTCATTCTGTTACCCTCAACCAAACGCTAAGAACGAGCAATGTTAGAAGAGAAAATCTCAAGAAAGTGAAAAAAATTGAAGAAAAAACGATTGAGAATAATCTAGAATTCTATTTAAGTGAGAAATGATACAGAAACAAGCTTATATACCAGTACACAAATTATGTAGATAAGTTATAACTAATTAACAACTTGTACAGCTAATCTCAACTAATTAAAACTAAAACTAACTAATTACAAACTGACTCAACTATTTACAAGCTATTCTAATACTCCCCCTCAAGATGGACTGTAAACATTCTTGACAGCCATCTTGGAAAGGAGAGGACAAAGAGTAGAAGCCGGTAGTGGTTTGGTGAAGACATCAGCCAATTGAAGATGTGTTATGATGGGCAGTAGCTTGATAGAACCATCAACAACTCGGTCACGAATAAAGTGACAATCGATCTCAATGTGTTTGGTGCGCTCGTGAAGGAGTCTCGTTAATTAAAAAAGTTACAGCAAGGACACAATCAGTCCAATACACCAATGGTACTCTAGACTGGAAATATAAGGCACAAGCCACATTCAACAAATGCTAGTGCTTCCTCTCAACAACAGAATTTTGCTGAGGTGTCTCAATAAACGAAAAGTGATGTAGAACTCCCTTATCAGCAAGGAAATCATTGAAGTGCAATTCTTTAGCATTGTCAGAACGAAAAAGTTTTATTCGAATATTGAATTGAGTCTCTACAAGATTGAAAAATCTAGGAATAATAGTGGTAACATCTGACTTATTCTTGAGAAGAAAAACCCAAGTAAATCGACTACAATCATCAATAAGAGTAACAAAGTATCTATGTCTAGTATGAGAGGGAACATGATAGGGCCCCCAGATGTCACAGTGGATGAGATCAAGAGGGGAAGGCGACCTATTATTGTGAGAAACAAAAGATAATCTTTTCTGTTTTGCGAAAGGACAAATATAGCAAACATCTGACCATTTATTCTGACCAAGCTGTAAATGATCTTTTAAGAATTACAACTGAGCAGTTCTTGTTGTAGACACAGAATTGACCAAACACTGATTAGAGGAAATAAGATTGCTGGAATCAAGAACATACAAACCAACCACCTTATTACCCTTGCCAATCATCATCTGGTTGTGGGTGTCCTGAATGAGAAAATGATTGGAAAAAAAAAATCATTATAATGTCAGTGTTACAAATGAGAGCACTGACAGAGATTAGATTGAACTTGAACTTTGGTAAATATAGCACATCTTTAAGAACCAAAGTAGAAGATAACCGCACATCACCAGAAAATTCCACACTGACAGTGGTATTATTAGGCAAGGTAACTATAGAATGAGAAATGGGCTTTAAAGAGACAAAACGATCAGCACAGCAACATATGTGTCTAGACGCACCTGAGTTAACAATCCAGTATCGAGAAGAAGATAAAGAATGATCCAAAGATATGAAAAAACATGTACCTGTTGAACAAGAACCTGTGAGTGGGGATTGTTGATCAGTGCTGACAAAAGCGGTCATGTGATTGGACAGCATGGTCATTAATTGCTGATATTGGCTGGCATTGCGATTTTGAACAAAATTTCCAACAAGTTCAGGTGTTTTACCATCAGAATCATCAGCAACCTGATTGACAGAACCAGTCTGAGGGGCATTTTGGCGTGGCTTCTGTCTATATCCAAGAGGATATCCATGAAGTTTATAACACCTGTCAATTGTGTGCCCATGAAAATTACAATGTGTACAAAATGGCCTGTCTTTCCTCTGAGTTTTGTTGTTGCCAGCATTAGAATTAGGACGAGCAGAATCACTTTTGGCAGCAAACGCCATTGTGGAGTTGGAATTTTCACCAGAAAAATGAAGATTAATCTTTCTCTGTTGCTCCTCCTGAGCAATGAGAGAGAAAACCTTGTTGATTGGAGGAAGAGGGTCAAGAAGTAGAATTTGACTGCGAGCTTGAAAAAATTGATCATTCAGGCCCATCAAAAACGCCATAACATACTCCATTTGGTAATAATCCTGTAAGGCTTTCACGCCTCCACAAGAACATTTTCCACATGAACAGCCTGGGTGAAAATTGCTCAGTTCTTCCCATAAAGTTTTCAGCTTGGTGAAATAAGCACCAACATAATGCTAATCCTGTTTGTGATTCACCAATTCCCGAAGTAGCTGAAAAATGTGAGGGCCGTTGCTTTGCTAGAAACGATCTCGGAGATCAATCTAGATCTCATGAGCAGAATCAGAGAAGATAACACTTGCAAAAATTTCTTTTGAAACAGAATTGAGAATCCAGGAAATAACAATATTATTGTTGCGAATCCAGGAGTGAAGAAGAGAAGAATCCGTACCATCAGGTTTCGTAATTGAGCCGTCGACAAATCCAAGCTTGTTCTTCACAGATAACGCAATCGTCATGGCACGGCTCCAAGAGGCATAATTGTCATCCGTCAATTGCTGCGAAACAAGCACCAAGCCTGGATTATCTGAGTGATGAAGAAAATAGACACTGGAAGAATCGTCAATGGCGGATCGGCCAGAGGAAGAATCAGAAACAAATGAATTCATCGTGAAACAAACGAGATTCACCGAGATCAGAAACCAGATGGATCAAAAATCGTTAATCAGAGGATTGGACGCGAAATGATACAAAAACAAGCTTATATACCAGTACACAAGTTGTGTAGATAAGTTATAACTAACTAACAACTTGTACAACTAATTGAAACTAATTGAAACTAAAACTAACTAATTACAAGCTGACTCAGCTATTTACAAGCTATTCTAATAAGCAGAGAAAAGAGAAAGGTTGCGAAAAATGTCTATTTAAGCGTCCTAGTGATGGATGGTAAAGTGCGTGTGAATGGGTTCAGAGAGGACATAATTAGATGTGGTTTAGAGAAGATATAATTATGACTCGTTTAGTTTGTTGGTTTTAGTTTTTAATTCGAATTGATATGTAATTTTATGTAAGAGCTTTTTACTGTAGCAAAAAAGTTAGATGTAACTATTTCTGAGAGTTTTTTACTATAATAAAACTCGAATTCTAAACTCGAGTCAGTGAAATGAACAGTACCTTAGTTTTTTTTCCTGAAAATCCAAATTCCTTCTCCCAAAAATATATGAAATAAAAATGCTCAGAGATAATCTAACTTTCTAAAATTTTGGGACTCTAAAGGCGTACTGAGACTATGGTGAAACTTTGATTAAATAGCCAAATCAAAATTAATTATCCTAAAAAATTTAAAATTTCTCCGTCAATTTACTCTCCATTATTTTCCCTGGTACAAAACAAATGGATCCCAAATTTCTTCTAGTAATTCCCTCACCACCTTCCATTTCTCTATCCTATCGAGAAAGCTGTAAAACGAATACGCAGATATCACATACGCTTTAAAGCCAAAAATAATCTTTAAAAAATTATCAGGACATATATACATACATATAACATTTTACTGTATTAATGATCTCCAAAATTTCTTAGCCAATAACTCCTTGATAGCATATGGCCAATACCATATGACATGTTATTCTTCCAATTGAACTTTTCCCGTTGCGAAGACACAATTGCACATATCAACATAAGCCGTTACTATGTTTATTCAAAAAACTGATGATAAGCTCATTAACTTGGTCTGGAAATTGTTCGTGCACAAAATGGCTTCCTTCTTCCAAGAATGTAATGTTCAAAGCAGGCAAAAATTTCTTCATTGCCCCACTCCTTATGTAGTCTTCTATGCCGGGAAACTTTAGCGAGTAGTCCTTGGCGCCCATGATTAGCAATGCCGGAGCTGTTACTTTCGGATCAACAATACCAATATCCACTGATAAACTCCTACCATGGACGGAATGACAAAATATTGTTTGGTCAATTTGGTCAAATTTGTCAAAAGAAAATGTTATTATTGTGTTTCACAAAGTACTACCAATAAGTCGCAAATTTGAGGCTAAAGTGAGTTTATGGGACAAATGAAGTTGATGTTTTAAGATTTAGGACCTTTTTCGGTATGTCAACATACCGGTAGGTTAGGTTTTCTGTTTGTCGGATCTATCTAAAATCACGTAAAAGTCAAAAAAATATGCAAATGCAACGGTTAAAAAAATCTGATCCATTGATACGCCAAGCGTACTAAAGAATCTCCCTTAAAATTTTTCTTATGCTGCCTACCAAAATGCCTTATTCAGAAACGATTGCAACATTATTTTTCTCTTTTAATTACCTGTATGGAACCTGCAATGCAAAGCGAAATCCGGAGTTCTCGTACAAGGAAGCATAGACTGATAGATCTTGCTCGGAGAACCATGGCGGTAAAGGAGTAGACGGGTCATACAAGTCCATGATTTCCTGATCCTCCCCGGCTATCGGAAGCTCACTTCTTGAGAAGAGAGTATAAATGTTTTTTATAACTGTCTTTACATCAAAGCGGGCAAAATCTGCTTCTGCTCTCCTTGGTTCCTGAAAATATATATCATAAACTTATTGTTGCAATTTTCATGCATTATTTAATAATTAAAAAAATGCTGAAATTAACGGAGGAATTAACACGAAAAAAAAATGCTTAATATTAGTGATTTATGCAACAATTTATTACTCTCAAAGTAATTTGCAAAGAGAATCTAATACTACTAGGTAAAAATCAACCATGACAATAACAAACGGCAATACATAGGGATAAGATGTAATATATATATAAAAAAGAAAGTCCGGTCTAATAAATCAAAGTGATACAACGCTCATAATTCAAACATTAATACGCTAATTATCCTTACATGTAATTAATAGGCACCACTAAAAGTACCTGCCACTTAGAGATGTACAAGCCTTTAGGAAGGAGTTTTTGGGTCGATGAGGGAGGTTGTGGAGTGTAAGGAACACTCAGAGTTACGAGGCCGGACACCCTTTCAGGGTGCAGTGCTGATACTAGGAATGCGGGTCGAGCTCCAAAGTCCTTCCCAATAAGAAAAGCCTATTAAACAGAAATTTTTTATAAAAAAAAATCTTATTTAATACTTTCCAATTTTATGAAATGCTATAAATTCAGTCCTATCTCTATTAAAATCATGCCCAGTTGTAAACAAAATATTGTCACGTACGTATAATTACATAATTTATACCAATTTATTTATAATTCTTGAGTAAACAAGAAACTAGTATTTGACATGAGTAATGTCATGTATAAAAGTTATTTTTCACCAAGTGACGTGTTATTTTGCGAGCACAATATGAAATATTCATTGCTCCTTATCCTTTTCTAAACTGCATCCATGTGGCAGAATAGGACAACTTAATTAAACGACAATCAAGTATTAGCAAATAATAAAAAATAAAAGAAAAGATAAATCCAAAGTTTAATTTTGGTATATGTGCAAGGCTTTCATGCTGGATAAGAAATGGTTAAGAATTTGGTATATCGTTTAAAAAAATCAATTAAACAAAGTTTTCATTATTTCATATCAAAGAAATGGTTAAGAATTTGGTTTTTTATTTTGCTTTATTATTCCTATTGACGGTAAAAATTCATCAACAGAATAATAAGAAATTTCTTTACGGTAAACACAAATTTAATGATCTAAAATGCAATTAAAGCAAAATTAAAGCAGGAATACACATAATTTATAGTGATTCACCCTCGATTTGAGAGCTACGTCCACTGTGGATAGGAGAGAAACTTCACTATCTTTGGAGGAATTACACGGATAAATGCTCAAGATGAAATTTAAGAATTTTCTGACTTATAATCCCTTACTTATACCTTAGGTCACCGCTCTTATCTGTTTTTCAATTCTAATTTTGGGATATTTTCCTTATCTTTTAAGATAGTCACCCAAAAGATAAAGGTCACAATCAATCGGGGTGATTTCTTTATTTAAATTTCATATATTTGAATTACAAGTAATAAATCTCAGACGAAATCTTTCGGATCATTATCTTTGCTTAGCCTCGACTCCGTAGATGATTTTTTTATCCTCTTCGCTATTGTCAGTGAGTGCGGTCGACTTCATGTCCACTTCTCATAACAGTAGACCTCTTACTTACATCAAACCCGTCATTGAAACGATCGACTCCAAAAAAAGCTATCGGCTAACGTAGCTCTTAGGATTGAGCTGTCATTGATCATTTAATGCTCTTCTTTATGCCCCATTTAGGATCTAATTTAGGGTTTGGCATTTTACCCTACAACATTTCTTACATTTCACTTTTATAAGACTTTTTTTCTCTTTTTTTTAATAAAATTTTTTGCTTGTCAAGAAAAAAAGAATCAAGCATGTCACAAATAGATGAAGTCACCACCACGAAAAATTTAATCATAAAATTTAACTACATCAAAAAAAATTTCAAAATTTATTGTTGAGTTACTACAAATTGTCCTAGATGAGATTTCCTGTTTTAGAAAATATTGCATAATAACCACATTATTACAGTTATTGAAGATAATTTTCTCGATAAACATAAATATATATCATTAATCAATTGATCTTTAATTCGATTGTGTAGCCAATTCTTCACGATATTTAAAGCAAAAAATATCCTCTCTATAGTAGCGGTGCAAGTAGTGATAACAAAAAGTAGATATGCATTAGTTATTCTTAGTAATAAAACGCTTTTAAAGTTAAGATTAGTTCTGTTTTTTAGAAAGTAGTATTCTTAGAGGTATTTCATTAGAAAGTAGTTTAGAAAAAAATTGGAGGTTTAAATTCAGATTAGATTTTCAATCTTTTAGTGGGATTATATCTTAATTATCTATAAATATACTTATAGATATAGATAAGTTAAATAAATATACTTATAGATATATATAAGTTAAAAAACATATTTAATAAGTTGAGGGGGGCTTAAGGCCTTAGTTGCATTCGCCAATTAACATTTCTTTTTCCTAAAGTTAACTTTAGAAAAACAAATGCGAATATTTTGAACTTTTAAATATGAGAATCCATTGGAAAGGCCAACTAGCTAGCCAACCAAACAATTACGCACTCAAAATGACTATATAATTAATCCTTACCTTATTGACGCCCAAGGAATCCAAGAGGCCGACGACGTCGTCGATAAGGTCTTTAAGCGTTGCTTTCTCAGGCTCTGCAGGCTGGTCGGAGAGTCCATAGCCCCTGAAATCGAAGGCTATGGCTCGGTAGCCATTGTTGGCCAAGGCAATCATTTGGTGCCTCCATGTGTACCATATTTCTGGGAAGCCGTGTAAGAACACCACCACCTTTGAACCTGTACTATTTTACATCCGATTATGTGCAGCAATTCTCAGGCCAAAAGAAAAACAATAGATAAAGATTAGGGATTCAATATGGTAGTAGGATATGCATTTTTACTCTACTGGTATAAATTGTTATTTTTAACTGTAAGATTAATTTTTTAACAGTTAAATTTATACATGTCTATATATTAAAAATTTACAACACGTGATACATAACTGTTTCTATTTCAGGTCAAATTGTTTAAATACTAAGCGATGTTTAGTTGAGGGATTCGTTTCCTGATTCGAATCATGATTCATGGTTCGCTACAGTATTTTCTCTCACAAAAAATTCACATAAATAAAAAATGATTTAAATCACATGATTTAAATCATCCAACCAAACGTCGTAACACAATTTCTACCGACAAAGAAAAATTCACGTCTTACCATAAGTTTTAAGTTTTGCCGAAACTATAATTGCATAGATAGAGTAGGTATTAATGGGTACGTACCGCTACCAACTTCAGCTACGTGAAGCTTTAGTCCTCTTACTTCTACACGTTTGTGCTTGATGTTTTCCATGCGTATTAATTGTGAGATAGAGAGAGAGAGGAAAGAGAGAGCGCGTTACCGGTTGAGTTTTGTCACAGTGAGATCCCAAATCGTCAATGGCAATTGCCATTTGTTGCAGTCTTATATAAAACTCACGTTCAACTCCCACGACACACACATCAATAATTGATGTATAAAAAATATGGTAGGGAATCTCTATCGACAATAGATTGAGGATTACTTAACGTATTGCACATTATTAAATGTAATTTGTCACGTCCAATGCAAAATAACATGATTTAACTTTCTCGTCAAAATGGCTGCATTATATAAAACATAGATAGTCTTTCCAGACACGGTAGGGGTACCTACTACTAATGCATGCATGTGTTAGGTTTAAATCTGATGAAAAAATTCAAATCAAAATGAAAAATATGCAAAATTACAGAACCCAATATGCAGATATGACAATTTCAAACAGAGCTTTACATTTTAGAAAAATGAATAAAAAATAAAACTTTGTCGATGGCGGGACATGTTTTTACTACCTTAGAATTCTCCAATACATGTATACAACTGGAAGTCAATTATAAATATTTTGACAGGAAAAATTAAGGGGCTATTGTTTTGGCGTTTTTGAATTAGGTGACTTGAATATAGATTTTGAATTGAGTTTGAGTTATAACTTGAGTTAAAGTTGTAACTTGAGTTTGTATTTAGTTGTGTACATTTGAGTTATTGTTTGAGATAATAATCTTTTTGAGTTTGTGTTTGGTGAGTCAAAACTTGAATTTGTATTTAGATAGTATTTTATTAAAAACTCAATGCTGATAGAAAATTTTAAAATGGTATATGGGTGAGATTTTATTCGTCTTTTTGTTGTCAACACATAAAAAAATCATCTCAATCAGAATTAAAACGAAAAAGTTATAGCATTTTTAAGAATAGAAAAAATATTTTTCATTAATTTGAGTTCGAGTTTCTGAACTCGAGTTGAAGGGAAAACTTAAACTTGAGTTTTAGTCCCAAACTCGAGTTCAAACTTAAAAGAACATGAACTTGAATAAAGTTGTAACTCGAGTTGCTTTTTTGAGTTTTTAATTCAAGAATGGGGCTGCCGAACAGCCCCTAAGAAACGTAGCATCTGTAGCACTTTAAAAAGGGCTTTGTTTAGTTTTAACTAATTGCTTAACTTAAATACTTTTTTTCTCAAGTTTTCCTAATTTTTGATAGTTTTGTAATTCACATATCAGATTGTTGAAAAATTAATTTAACAACTAAAATAATAATTCCTATCATAAAAATTCTCATAAAATTTTTGTAAAAAATATAGTGCAAGATAAACATTATTTTTGTTACTAATGGGGACGTGATTTAGGCAAGCCCTCAAACTAGTTATATATACATAATAGCGCAATGTAAATAATAACATCTTCCACCATATGACCAATGTTAGGTATTTTTATTAGTTGGCTATTTATCAACAATCTTGTAAAAATTTTAAAAAAAAAAAGTACAAGAAAATTTCGTATTGCAGATAAAGATTCAGAATAAGATTTGAAGTTAAAGTTGCAGATGTTGTTGAGTTGAGATTTGAAGAGATAAGGATAAAGGCTTGGTCAAAGGAAGATAAGACATAGGTTGAGATTTGGAAAGATAAGGATAAAACACTGGTCAAAGGAAGATAAGGCATTGGTTATTTGAATTTAAATGGGATTCTAGCAAGATAATGTGGAGATTAAGTTGCTATTTTAAAAGAGTAATTCAGATTTCAAAAGTAGTTGTATAATCCGAATATGCATTGGTTTGTTTCAAGTTGGTCACTACGAGATATACTTCAAAGGCATCATATTTGGATATATGTGTGTGTATATATATATATATATATATATATATATATCTTGATTTGAATTTAAATGGTGATGCACAATTCAAAGCCTTTAGAAGTGGTGAAATGTGAAGATAAAGTAATTGATAGATGAATTGTTTGAATTATATTCTCTTCACTTTATTTAAAGGTTTTGTTTCATAGCATATGGAAGTACGATTTAATAGAATATCTCCAGAGGAAAAGTCTGTGAATTTGAGAGCTTAAAACTGAGAAAATATTCAGAGAGACGTATGTGAGTTTTTATGAGTTATTGAGATCGTCCTTCGGGAGAGGGATTTGTTACTTTCGGGAGGAAGCTCTACCGGTCGAAAGGAGTTCGCCAGGTGAATAGAAGACATGTAGTGCACGCTAAACAATCACTGTGGAGATTCGTCACAGCGGTGTCATTGTCTAGGATGGAGTGCTTGAGTAAATAAGTCCGTCCAGTGTCTGTAATTTCTGGAACATAGTGAACTGTTTATTGTCTGGACATGGCCCTGCAGATGTAGGTGTGCGCACTGAACTGTGATATCATATTGTGTGTTCCTTTACTTTATGCTCGAGCAACTTAACGTAATTAACCCAAATCTAACAAGGGGTATCATAGCGGTTCACTGACCATAACTTCGGTAAGATCTTGGAGAGTTGATCTGTTATGTTTGGAATAGATTTTCTAAAGGAAGGAGGTTCAGTTGTACGTCCCCCTTTGCTTGATGGTTCAAATTATTCATACTGTAAGGCCCGGATAAAGGCTTTTATCAAGGCTCATGATAACTCTAAGAAATTAGAGTTATCCACTGGTTTTCTAGCTCAAAAATTGCGTGACCAAGAGTGTTTTTCTAGTTTATTGTGTGTTTTAATTTAGATTTGTATAGTTTACACTCACTTTGACTTAATTTCATACTGGTGCTCCTCTTGAAGTGAAAGCTAATGATTTTGAAGTAAAATGAGGTGAAAAAATGACTAAGGTTGTGTGCGCACTTTGTAGAAAATTTCTGGGCTAAATGCTACGGCATTCTGGCAACATTCTGGGAACAGCTGGCATATGCCTGACATCAGCGTACTAGCTGGAGAAAACAGACAAAAGGAGTCCGTGTGAGCTGGATGAGCAGGTGTCATTGTGGTCCCCTGCACACATCATTAAGTGACACCTCAGCCCTTGTGTTGCCCTAGAAGGGAATGTTTTCTTAGGACAAAGAGGCAGCCGCTAGGGAAAAGAAGGAGGAGAGAGAAACGGGGCTGAAATAGAAAAGGGAGGACAGAGACTATTTTTCCACAGAGAGAATACATAGAGTAGCCCTCTCCAGAAAAACTCACAGAGCACTACCCAGAGAGGAAAAAGCTTCTTACGAGAGCTGAAGAAGGTTGAAAATACAAAGAGTACTCAGCCCAGAAAAATAATCAAAAACGTGAGAAGATGGCTGGAAGTTGAAGGACATTTTGGCCGGCCAAAGAGGAATCCAAGTTCCAGCTGAAATTCGTTCTTCTTCTGTTAGCTTAACTTTCTTTTGTTATTTAGCTACTAATTTAGCTATGGATTATTCTGGAGCTTTGAATCTTGTAAATCTTATTATGAACTAATTTGCTTTAGCTAGGTTTGCTAATGGAACCAAGATTGTAAGAATGATAAGTTGTTTCTGAGATGCTATTAATTTCCTATTCATGTTCATTCATGTGAGTTAATGTCTATTTCTAGTCTTGACTGGCCATCAATTTTAGGATACAAGATTAAGATTAATACTAGAAGGGTTAGTTTTAATCGGATTAGCATGAATGATGCATGTTCAATAAACTTGCTGAGTTGTTGATTAGTGGATGGTATAGGAATATATTATTCACCTTGCATAACTTATTGAAACCTGAGCTTAAATCTGCATTCCTAGAGCTAGATTCACATAGGAATATGTCAGAAATGGCTTGAGGAACCTGAGTCATAATTAATTCGGAAGAACTTTATGCAATCAAGGAGTTTCTGTTAACAGGGATAGTAAAATGCTGCAGCATTCTAGGTAACATTCTAGTCAGACTTGCAATTGAGGGGAAGTTAGTAGACCTAGCTCATTTTCATCACTGAATTACAGCCCATAATTACGTTCTTGTTACTGTTAGTCACTTTAGACCGCATTTAGTTTGCATTCATTTTATTTACATCATTTTAGTGAATTTTTGCCACATTTATTCTTTACTTGTTTTGTTGATTATATAACTTCCAACACGTACTTTCGGTGACTCAAGCCTCATGGGATCGACACTCTTATTCACTCTTTATTAGTTGTCTGCGACACGTGCACTTGTGAGCATAAATATCACGCAACAGCTCAAGATGAGAAGGTCTAGCGTGTTATTTTGAATAGCTGAAAACATCAAGTAACTAAAGATGTATAAGGAAAAGAGGCTCTCAAACCTGAAGAGTTCTGGAGTACCTATGAAGATAGGTTGGCCATCTACAACTCTCATGTTTTTAATGCAATATTTAATGGAGTTGACATCAATAAGTTCAAGATGATATCTACATGTGAATCGGTAAAAGAAGCATGGGAGATTTTAGAGATTGCTCATGAGGGAACCGCTGCCGTCAGACAATCCAAATTGAATATTCTCACAACCAGGTTTGAAAATTTTCGAATGCATGAAAGTGAAACTATTTCTGAATTTAATTCACGGTTGTGTGATATAGCTAATGAATCCTTTGCTCTTAGTGAAAAAATTCCCGAGGCAAGACTTGTCAGTAAGACGTTGAGATCTTTACCATAGAGATTTGCCTACAAAGTCACTGCTATTGAAGAGGCGAAAAACACTGAGACTGTGAGACTTGATGAATTGATGGGATCATTGAGGACATTTTAAATGAATCTAAGTCAAAATAAGAAGGAGAAGGAGATTTCTCAGGGGATTGCTTTCCAAGCCGAAGTGAAAGATAATGTTGAAGAAGAAGATGAAGACTTAGCGGAGTCTCTTGCTCGATTGACTAAAAATTTTAACAGGGTGATGAAGAAGTTCAACAAGAAGAACCAAACTCCAACTTTCAACAACTCCAACAATTTTCAGAAAAATAAAGGAGCTACAAATTCCTCTAATAATAAGAAGAAGAATAGGGGAATTCAATGTCGGGAGTGCGATGGTTACGGTCACATTCAATCTGAGTGTGCTAACACTCTCAAGAAGAGGAAGAAGTCTCTCAACGTCACATGGAGTGGTGAGGATTCTAAAGGCAGCCAGGAAGATGATGATCACGTGAACAACTATGTTGCGTTCAATGTCTACCAAGATGTTCCAAACTGCAGTGTTACAGATCATTTCACAACTCATGTTGCAATATCATCTGCAACATCATCTGCAACACACTCTGGAAAACCAGAAGAAAACATAGATTTTTTAGATTCTGACGGTTCCAGTGATGGTGAAGAATTGACTGATGAGACAATACATGAGGCATATGAAACCATGTTCAACAAATGGGTTTTGGTGGTTAAAATGAATAAGTCTTTGCAGGAGCGAGTCGATGAGCTTATTAAAGAGAAGGATGTGCTTAAGAGGGCTGTTGTAAACAATGAATTTTGGGCTGTTGAAAATGAGAAAAAACTGCAAGAGACGAGAGCTGAATCGGAGCACACTCAAAAGTCATTGAAAATGATGAATTCCGGCACCACAAAATTGGGTCACATTCCCTCGATAGGAAATGCGAGTGGTGATCAACATGGCCTTGGCTATACTGGTGAGAGCTCAACATCCAAAACAGTGTTTGTGAAGAAGACGCCTGCCCCTAAGCCTCCAACTTCCTCCAGTAAGAAGGTTACTATCTTATCCCCTTGACATAGAAGGTTTGTCCCCACATGCCATTATTGCAGATTACCTGACCACATAAGACTGAGATGCTACAAGTATTTAAATGCCTTGAAGAGAGGTATGTTTGTTAATCCACCAAATTTTTCAAACTCAAAAAAGACAACTAACGTGAAGATTGATGTGAAAAATAATTTTTCTAGACATGTGTGGGTAAGGAAATTTGATTTGAGATGTCATAAGGCTTATACTTCTTTAGAAGCATACACTAATGATTGTGGGTGTAGTGATGCTGGTTGCACTAAACGATTGACAGGTGTTAAGGGCATTATACATGGGAGAATACTACATTCAAGGGGAGTAAGACACAAAGAAGATTCAGGGGGAGTGAGCTACAAAGATCAATGCGTTCGCAGATATCTAGTGCGAAGTGTTGCACCGAGTGTTTCAACAAGTGTTACAACATGATTTGCGACATCAGCTGCTGAAGACGACTCTAAGGTGTGAAGTTCTTTTATTTTTTTGTGTCTTTGGCTTATTTTTGACAAAAAGGGAGAGAACAATGTAATTTTATATTTTTTGTCGTTTTTGAATTTTTAGGATCTCTTATTAATTTTGTCAAAAAATGCCAATGGGGGAGATTGTTAGGTATTTTTATTAGTTTGCTATTTATTGGCAATCTTGTAAAAAAAAAAAAAACAAGTTCAAGAAGATTTTATATTTCAGATAAAGATTCAAAATAAGATTTGAAGTTAAAGTTGCAGATTTTGTTGAGTTGAGATTTGAAGAGATAAGGATAAAAGCTTGGTCAAAGAAAGATAAGACATTGGTTGAGATTTGGAGAGATAATGATAAGACCCTGGTCAAATGAAGATAAGGAATTGGTTATTGAATTTACATGGGATTCTAGCAAGATAATGTGGAGATTAAGTTGCTATTTTAAAAAAGTAATTCGGATTTGAAAAGTAGTTGTATAATCTGAATATGCATTGATTTATTTCAAGTTGGTCGCTACGAGATATACTTCAAAGGCATCATATTTGGATATGTATATATATATATATATCTTGATTTGAATTTAAAAGGTGTTGCACAATTCAAAGCCTTTAGAAGTGGTGAAACATGAAGATAAAGTGATTGATGGACGAATTGTTTGAATTAGATTCTCTTCACTTTATTTAAAGGTTTTGTTTCATAGCATATGGAAGTACGGATTTAATAGAATATCTCCAAAGAAAAAGTCTGTGAATTTGAGAGCTTATTTACTAAGAAAATATTCCGAGAGGCATATGTGAGTTTTTATGAGTTATTGAGATCGTCCTTCGGGAGAGGAATTTATTGCTTTCGGGAGGAAGCTCTACCGGTCGAAGGAAGTTCGTCAGGTGAATAGAAGACGTGTGGTGCACGCTAAACAATCACTGTGGAGATTCATCACAGCGGCGTCATTGTCTATGAGGGGGTCCTTGAGTGAATAAGTTGTCCAGTGTTTGTAATTTCTGGAACATAGTGAACTGTTTATTGTTTGAGCGTGGCACCGCAGATGTAGATGTGTGCACCGAACTGCGATATCATATTGTGTGTTCCTTTACTTTCTGTACTTTATTCTGCTCAAGCAACTAAACGTAATTAACCCAGATTTAACAACCAACAAAAGCTTATTCATTCACGAATTCAAAGAAGAGTTGGGAGATTAAATGGGAAAATTTTGACATGACACTACATCATAATCTAGCCCAGCCACCCATTAACAAGAATTGAAAGAAGTACAACGCACAGGACGAGTATCCAGAACAGCTCTTATTAAACAATCATATGGGCATGTATATTAGTTAGATCACATAGAAAATAGGGACAAAATCCAGCAAATCCAGTCTTTTGTAGCTTTGCAGCAACGAGTTTTTCTCAGTTTGCCAAATACAGTGAGATATATATATATATATATATTAAAGTCATTCTCTCATATGTAACGTTTTCATCACAAGAATCTTAGTGTTATAAGCTCCTAGGTAACCATCTCTCATAGGTAAATAACTGTCTACAGAACCATCTTAGTGTCATGAAGAGATGCACAAGAGATTCGTCTACAGAACAGCACAAAAGGAAAATAACTAGGGCTGACAATCCGAATAGCGACACGATGATAAGACTCGAAATCCGTACGAAGTTAGCAGGTTTGAGTTAAGTATAAATGGGTTTGGGTCATAATCGGGTTGACACGATTAACACAATTAATAAATTGGTTGAGTTAGGGTTGACCTCTTAACACGAATTGACATGATTAACTATATGTGTTATCTGCAATCTAAGGATATGTGATATAACATGAAAGTTTATATGACATATTAAATACAAATAATGTGAATTTTAATATTTGTAGGTAAAATTCATTTATTTTTCTTAAAGAAAAAGATAAATTGACCAATAAATATGTTAAACCTATCTTGACCGTGTTAAATAAGTCATTATTATATTAGTTATTTATTCAATATATTAATTTAAACGAGTTATACGGGTTGACACGATTAATAAATGTGTGGTGTTTAGGTTGACATTTTTAACACGTTTAATAAACATATCGTATTTGAATTAATGTTTTCTAATACGATTAATAAACAGGTTGACACGAACACGACCCACTAACACGAATTGCCACTCTATCCTACAAAGATTGACCCTAATAAGCCGCGCACGAGTAGGGTGGGAGTCTATGCCAATCCTCCAAAGGAGAAGTTTCAGCAGATCATGCGGGCAAGAGGACCTACCCGCCACAGTGTTTACTAACACGAGGAATGGCGCAATACCAATCCAGCTTGCCAAACAAGGCGTATAGGAATACCCTTCCAATGACACCAACTCAAGTAACAATACAACAAATTACTAAATTTTTCATACCTAAGTATACATATTTTATTCTATATTTTCCCACATATTGTCTATTCTAAGTAAACAAAGAACTAAATCTGCCACTCCAATTTAATATACACTTTTCTGATTTCTTGTAAGCAATGGCAATGTGTGAAACAACAGATCCAAATCAAGAAGCCTCCCGTCTTCAATTCCTCCGAAACTCTCAATCTTTACAGCTTTCCAGTCGTGGCGGCAGCACTTTATGTGAGAAGAAATGCAGCAAAATGAGTTTTCTTTGTCCAATAGCTTCTCACAAAGATCCTACAAATTATAGGAAGTAATTGTCAATACACTATCGATCGATGTCCAAACTCAAAAGCTTTGCCAACTTCTAAATCATTCATAAAACTATGATCTTCGTGAAGTATTCAGGACAACAACCATCACTCGTTAGCGTCTCACAACACATAACAGAAAGAAGCATCTCATATAAAAATACAGGCTATGAACCTCGTATCAACAAGTATGTGTGTTTCCCTTTCCTAGCAAAAATAAGCGAAGGCAATCATACTTTTATGAACTTGTTTTGGGATATGGAACCCGGGGTAAGAGATATTGTCATCGGATGACAACTCCAAAGTGGACCATTTATAAGAGCTGCCCAATCCACTGATGGTGAAATTCTAAAAGAAGTTGGGTTTAAACGGTCAATTTTGATCGGTGAAGGAATTGTCACTTGTCCCAACTCTTCAAGATCAAAACAAACCTTCAACACACGAACAAATAGTGAATTAGAAAAAAAAAAAATGCAAGAAGCTGTAACAAGTAACATTTATTTCATATAAGCAAATGTCAAGAATGGTAACAATAACAGTCGAACTTATACTACTGATCGTACCTCATTCTTAACGTCGACTAGTGTGAAATATTTTCCCCGAGGCCAATCTCCAAGAAATTACCAACTTTACCGTAGTTGGAACTAAATTCATAAAAAATTTCCACTGGACATGAAACGTTCTCCGATACTATAATAGGCAGATTACAAATGTCTAATTTGAATAATGATAGTCTTGGAGCATCAATATGAATAGTACTCTCAATGTTGTTACATCTGTCAAGACAGAGAGTCTTGAGTTGTTGTCCAGAAATTCTAACCCTTCGCAACGTGGGGACGAGAACAATTTCCAACTTTTCAAGGAAAGGAAAACTAGAAAGATATGAAATGCAACAAATCATCGGTGACACCGCACTTACTTAGACGTAGAACTTTCAGATCATGGCAGGAATTCAAACTGATTCTAGAAGGCAATTTGGGTTGATCATAAGGTTGAAAACTAAAGTACTTAAGTTTTGGCGCATCAATACTAACGCTGTCAAGTTCATCATTAGGCAGTGGGTCCACAATACTAACCGACTCGAGTTTGTTAAGTTTGGAAATATCTTGACAGTCTTCAATCCACAAAAATGTTCGAGAGCAAAATACTTGATGTTTGGACAATTATGGACGATATCTCGTAGAACATTTTCGCTTATACTAACCCTGTGCAGCGATAATTTTTTAAGAGGATTGAAGCTGGAAGACGCATAAACTGATATAATCGCAAATAATGTTTTAGGCAAAGTATAATAATTTTGAGGAAAACCTGCCAAATCTGTAGTGATCATGAGGGATATCTCTTGAACACCATTATTAAGAGCTAAAAACAACCATCTATCAATCATCGAAACCAAGTTATGATCCACAGAATCGATTAAAAAACTCAATCTCTCGATTCGCAACTTCTTCTGAATTAATTTGTGCAGGGATTTATCCACAAGGTTCATGAATTCCCTAGCTTTCTCCTTATACTTAGAAGGAGAACCACCTCGTGATTTTATATGACAAAATTGGTCAAACTCAAATATTGGGAAGGAATCCCAGATAGAACTCCATCGTCTAGACAATACACTGGTTCTAGCAGCGTCTTCTCTTGGAAGAAAAGATAATATCCATCTTGTGGCTTTTACCGTCCATTCCTGGATAGCATGAAAAACGAATAGCAAAAAAATATGTAAATCTAAGCAAATAGTTTCTAATTATAAAACTGAATAATTAAATTCCACCAAAAAAAGAAAGAAAAAAAAAAAAACCCTCCCTCTTAATCGTAACTCCGTTGAAAACACTCTTATCTTAATCGGTTCTC